TTTTTGTTTTAGCAGCGACACAACTATACTTTTTGTGGCAACTTTTTTTGTTGCCGCTGATAAATATTAGCGACAGCTACTATGGCAATGACTTGGTGGCGACTTTTTGTCATCGCTGAAAACTTTCAGCGGTGACATTTTGACTTTCAGTGTAATTTTTGTTGCTGCTAAAAGTCAATTTTTTTATAGTGTAAGAAACCTCACGAAGTTATGTATGTGTGCAATATAACGAGGCGCATACTGATACTTGGGAACCCTTAGATTCCATGAAGTAGGTTAAAAAAAAAAAAAAAAGAGTCACAGTACTTAGTGATCATAAATTCTTTCCTCAAACTTCAATGATTCTTCTATTTATTTATAGTTTTTCTGAGCAACTAGTGGCTAGATATACAAGATTTAGATACTACATATTATCCTAATTAGTTGTCAGCTGAAGCATTAAATGTACTGTCAGAACAGTAACACAACAGTCATGAATATCTTTGAGTATAAGATACTCGTAGATAAGCATAACGTGCATATATGCTCTTGAATATTGTTTAATTACTAGTAAGTGAATAGCTAATTTAGTGAACCAAAGTTTCACCTTAGAGAAACAACATTAATTAAATTCGAAATGTAAACAAGTATCTATCTATCTAGCAGACGGAGTACTAAAGTTTGAATCTAATGGCAAATTAGCAATCATATCCAAGGAACTGCTTGAATTGGTGTTTTGATCGGTCCCTTCCATTCTTATCTCCATTGCCAAACATTCCCTTAGATCACTACTACTTGGCTCGTATCAGGCCTCTGAATTGCTAGTGGTGCGGTACATGACTTGGCTATCTCAAGAAATGTCCAAGCAGATTCAATACTGTATTGTCCCTGTAACCTTGGATCAACAGTGGACTGGATATCCTTGCTTCCAAGTTTAGGGGTGACCCATTCATGTAGAAGAATGAAAGTATTGTTTGGTTGTCCTTTTGCTGCTGGCTTTCCAGTCACCAGTTCCAGCAGAATTATTCCAGAACTATAAACATCACTCCCTTTGGTAAGGTTTCCAAAATTTCGAAATCCGTTATTATTACAAGGCAAAATTGAAAAAAAACAATTGTTAGATAGATCTCAAAATATATCTTTCCATTTAATATTTTTGTATTCAATCATATACATCCAAATTGAGTTTGAAAAATTCAAAACGAATTTCAGTGAGAACTTTCTTCCCTTTTAGAGTTCTTTAATTTCTAAATAAAACTTCAATTTGTAATCATCGTCTATATATAATTCATACAGTTAAAAAACAGAAAATTGATGTATTAAAATCTGGTTCATTAATTGTACTCCTATTTAAATTAGTGTTCATTTACAGTTCCCCTTTAATGGACTGATTTTCTTATCTGCAATCTTAAACTAATCTTGTGAGTTTTCTTAACTGACGAGATATAAACAAAACAACATTGCAACAGATGGAGTCAATTATATGGATTATACTATGCCAATATGCTGATGAGAAAATATGTATTCCATAAATAAGAATACTCATTGAGGATCAAGGTAACCAAGTGTTCTAGCAAGGCGAGTGGCGATGTGACTATCAATATCATTTGCAAAAGCTCTAGATAATCCGAAGTCAGTGATTTTAGCCTCCATATTCTTGTCCAGCAAAATGTTGGAGGCCTTAAGGTCTCTATGTACAATTGCAGGTTTACAATCATTATGCAAATAATCCAGTCCTGCAACTCAATTCGTTATATGTATCACCAAGGTAATTGTTGGAGAAAGAATGAACCCAAATTCCAGTTTGAATATTAATAATCTCAATTCATAAAGAATGACATTATTTTTAGCCATTTGAAAAAGAAATTGTTACTAAATGTAATTTATTTATTTTATATACAATTAACTAGAATATTGTTCGCTGAATAGCTTAACCGCAAGCGGACGGGTCGCAAGTAATATAAAACGTATCGTTCCCTCAGAGATTAGGGCAAAATGAGTTAAAAATCATAATTGTGTTCTTGATTAGGTGAAGTGCAACGAAAGTTGTAAAAGAGTTTGTGAAATGAGATTAGGAAAACAATGATTTAAATTAATATGAAATCAACTTGACTTTAAGACAAATAAGGGTCTAGGGTTGTTTTTCACTAAAATACTTCATAAAACTTGATTAATCACTTCTCAAATAGTAGTTAACAATAAGTTCAGTTAACCAGGGTATGCAGAATTGATTAGGCTTTCTCAAGTCAAAACCAAATTTTGCAATCTCAATAAAACATAGCAATCTTTTGCATTTGTTTAAAAAGGTTGCTCTTTGAAAACCAAAACCCCTTTTTAGGCTATGCTAGGTCAATAGATATATTTCTATTCTATCAACAAATCTTCCCCATTTAATAAGATAAATTTCTGAACTAGCACGTTTTCACTAAAGTTCACAGATTAATTTAACTTTCTCAAGCTTCAATCAATTAACTAACCAATCCACAATGATAGCCAGTCACAAGGAAGCAATAAGATCAAGGTAAAAAAACAAAACTTTATCATTAACATTAAAGAGAGAATTTAAACAAGTCTTAATCCATACAATAGATCAAAATAACCCTAGGTTGACTATTCTAGCTACACATGTTTAGCAAAGAGCCACAACTATCAGAATAGTTCCTAGCCATTACAGAAACAAGAAGAGGAGAAGAAGAAAACCAAGAAAAAAAAATTAGGAAGAAGCTTTCAATCTCTTGTAACTTTGATGCCCAATGATCCGAAGCTTCAAAACCTCTAAACCCTTCCAGAGCCAGCCTCCAAATGAGCCCCAAAGTTGAAGTATCTCTAAAAACCACCAGTCTTTCTGCATATATGCCCTAATTTTTAAGTTACATAACAAAATGCACAGCTACGAGAAGGCAGGCGTTGCGGTGGATATGGACAAGCGCCACAACACCTTACACCGAATGGGAGCTCCTTGTAAGTGGACTGGCATCGTGGCATGAAATATCCTTTCTTTATCCCCTTAGAGTATGCATTTAGAAGTGTCATGGTTCAAGTAATTCACAAAATAAGCCCGTAAATTGAACTTTGTAATTGGTTCTTAGGTTACTGTTTATTGGTCAAATTCCAGATTTTTCATCCAATTTTGAGCAGTCATAACTCTTACTACACAGATTCATTTTAAGTGATCTACCACATGCTTTTAAGCTCAGGATGTGTACTTTAATCATACCAAATTTCATGCCCTAACTCATTCATTTGATAGGTCAAATAGGAGCTAGAAGCTAACTGCTTTAGGACCTACGTTTTATCCGTTAAACCATTCTTACTTTAATTCTCACTTCATTCGAACATGCAACAACTAGCCTTATGAATTCCCATTCATTCATATAATTTGAGCTGCATGCCATTACATTATACATCAAACATTACATCATATTTCATACTTGACATATCCATAATTAATTACATAATTAGCGACATCAATCATTACATTAAAACGCATGTAAATTCTCCACTTTCTTTGCTTCCATCTTTTTGCCCTTTTTCATGTATGCCTTCTCTTTATCATTTAACCTGCTATGATTAGTTAAGGGAGGGTGAGATTCAGGAGAATCTCAGTAGCAAACAATAACCACCCAAACATACATGGCAAGCTTGGCATTCATAACATGCTTGCAACTTAAAATTTCTATAACATAGTGACATGTTTAGAAATCATCATGCATTAACCATAAAACACACAGGCCTATGAAACATTTCAAGCATATTAACAATCACAATGCATGAGTTCATAAAACCATATAAACACAGAACATGTCATACACGCAAGCAAATACCAAGCACATAAGAGTAGGGTAAAGTTTGCTACCTTGTATCTTTAAACTTTCTCTTGTTCTTCAACTTGCTCCCTAAGCTTCCCAGCTATCTAGTTTTTAGCCAATCACATCCAAACCTTCTCTTGGATGTCTCAAGGTCCTAATCACAGCCATAAGGTTCAATTACTCATTAGGACCAAGAATTACATAATATGGAAGACTTGTGTCCTTACACTTAATCCTTTTTTTTCTTAATTTATAATGTAGTGTTCTAGCTTTGTAAAAATTGTTTCCTTAGGCCAATCCTACAAAATTTTGTCCAAGAAATCCAAATATGAGCTTAGATTCATCAAGATCCAGTTCCTTCCCCTGGTCCTAGGCCAAAATTGAAATCTACCACTTAATTTTCAGTTTTGATTCCAATGCTCCCAACTTCATTCTTTCATCTTATCCCTACATAATTTTTTATTTTAAACACATTAGAAGCATCAAAATCATCAAAATCACATCCTAGGCATAAGAACCAGGTCTAGCTGAAACATTTTCTCAAGTTAGACAATCATGAAATTCAACTAATTTCAGTATAAAACCACTTGATTTGTGTTCCTTTCAAGCTGTTGGACATTATTTTGATATCAATTTCATCTCCCCTCACACTTAACAATTTCGTGCAGCATGCTCCCTAAGGGTTTCAAGCTCCCAAAAATTATTAAAATCCATAACAAAGCTCAATAACAACAAGGGTAGTGAAAACTACATCAAAAACCATGAACATATCTTGTTTTAGAGCTTAATCTTGCATGAGACCACTTGGCCTTTTTTTCTCCCCCTTCTTTCTCTCCCTAGAAACTATTTTCCTAAAGCTTCCCCAAGGTTTCCATGAGATTGGACGAAAATGAGGGGTGGGGAATGTAATATCCCAAATTTTATGGATTTGAGTAAAACATGATGAAAAAGAAATTTTTAGAGGAATTATCGAGATTAAGACCTTTAGAATATGGTCTAAATAATTATATAGTTAATTTCAAGAATTTAAGACCTATTTTCCTGGAATATTCAAGAAAAATAGTTAGAGGATAATTTTTGAGCTGAGATTTTTAGGATAATTATTTTATGGACTAAAGAAGCTAATAGAAGAAGAAAATTCATATAAAATATCCAGGTTTGACTTCTGGAATTATTTGATTTTCCTAAAAAATAGAGAAGGATCAAATTGAAAGAAAATAAAGACCAAAGGGCATGATGGTCATTTCACATCCCTGGTCCCTTTTAATCTGCCAAAAACGCCTCCTCCCTTCTCATTCTCCTTTGCTACCGACTTGAATAGAAGGAGAAGGAACATAGAAAGCTTGAAAGGGCGAGAGGAAGACGAGCGACCACGAGGAAGAATCAGAGGTGTTTTCTTTGCATGTAAGCATGCTTTTCTGATTAAGGTGAGTCCTTCAGGCTTTCGTCTATCCTTGTTTTCTTTGATTGGGGCTTTATGGGAGTGGAAGAAATAAATGAAAATCCTGTCCTAGGGAGAAAAATTCAAGAATCGCATGAAAGCGTTGACCGAAGCATAGATTTGGAGTTGTGTGAGAGTAGTCCTGTACTTTTATGCTACTGTTTATGTTCATTTTTTTTTCTGGTACCTGATTGCCGAAACAGGGGATGGGTGATTCAGGGGGTTAGCTTCAGACCTTTCTTTACTTGGGTATAAGGCTGAATATTGATGAAATTGAAGACAGGTTTTATGACCCACGTATATAGGAAATTGCTCTTGGGTTGATTCTATTTTAATGATATTCTCGAAGACGTCTTTGAACTAATACCTTCATTGTTTTACGCGGATGGCACGGGTTCCATACTTGAAAGGTGAATGAATAGGAATAGTATGATTATAAAGATTAAATAATGTTATAGGATATTTTGGAGGAAAGGCAGTGAGGTTTAATGGGGGGGAAAGGGAGATGTAAGAGATATATGTGTGTGTTTGTGTGTGGGTGTTTGGTTGTTGTCCATTTCAAATATGGAAAAATTTTCTAGATCTGCTTAAGAATGTGGAGTGAAATATAGGAAGGAAAGAGAGATGATTAAACCTCAGTGTGGACATATTAAAATATTTTTGGAAGCATGGGATGCTGTCCAAAATTGTTTAAAGTGTGAAGATAGATATTGAAATTTGAAAAAAAAAAAAGAGTTTATAGATTAGCAAGGTTGCTGAATTATTTTTGGGAGACTAGGAATAAATTATATATATAAATATTAATCTGCCCTTGCCCATATAATTTATAGGATTTGATATTTGTTCAAGTCCATCAAGAAGAGAGCCAAGGAAGAAGCAGGGGGAAGCTAGTGCGGAAGAAAAAGTAAAAGGTAGTAACTCTTTTCCTTTAATGTGATTATGCATTGATTGCCACATGCTTGGATGTGCCTTTATACTGATTGTGCATGAGAACATGTAAGTTGCCTTTGCATGATAATAATTGTCATGACAATATGCGCTGGTTTCCATTTATTTTGGAATGTGGGCGCAATAGATAGCAATTGGCTATATGGGTGTATGGTGTATGTGCATCATTGATTATATTTGGATGCAAGGTGTTGTTCTCTTTGGCCTGTGTAGCATGTTGTTTGTGATCTTGTATGATTACATGAAGGAAATTTGTTACTACTGAGATTCTTTAGAATCTCACCCCTTCTTCCATGTAATACAGCAAGAGCAAGTACTCCTAAGGGCAAGGGAGTAGTGATCGGTGGAGTTTGAAGGTGCAGGAAGTTGGCGATCTTTTGTATATATATTTTGCTTAAAATGCATCTTATTTTAAAGTGAAGATATATTGTATATCTATTTTGGTATGTAAATATTCCTCCATAAGGAGGTGGCTAAGGGCAGATAAACCATGGTAACTACTATTGAAGGAAATGATCAATATTTTGATATATAGTTATTATTTTGTCTAAAATTATATGTATCTGTATATGTAACTCATTGTACGAGCCTACGGCTAGAATATTGAATGTTAGATCCTATTGGCTATAATTGATTTGATATGGGATCCAAAAGGTTGGATGGAAAAAGAATGGGTTCGATGGTTGAATACGAACTATGGGTCTTAGACGGTTTTTACTGTTTTTGTAAAAAGGTTAAATTGAGTACTCAAACCACTAGACAGGTTACTTTGAAAGTGAATTTTGAAGGGTTTAAAACTTTTCAGAAAATCTCATTCTTTAAACAGGATCACACTTTGTATGTGGGAACAAAAAAAAATTGTCTTCCTAAGAATTGAAACCTAGCTTTTAATGATTCGAGATTGAATAGAATAACTCTATTGGTGTATAAGGGATAGTCGTGACAGGGAAGGGGTATTTATAGAAAACAAGACTGAATCTGGGCCGTTGATCTTAAAAATGTGTGGCTTGATCTAGACTGTCCATTTTCTCTTTTAATCTTGTGGTGACAAGTGTCCGATGACATCATGCTTATCTCATCATGATGACGTCATGCTTACATCGTCAATCCTCATGCTTTTAATCCAACCATACATGTGGCTTGCATCTGACCGTACAGGTGTCTTGCATCCAGCCGTACACGTAATACATTCTTTTCCCATCTAATCATACACTTGTTTTCTTCATATTCCTTCATCATTAAGGGATTAAAATAGGGAGAAAATTAATATAAAATTCGTGTCAAATACAGCCCTTACGTATTCCTCCACCTATTTGGCCATTTTGCATCGTATATGACACTTTTTCGGGTCCTGACTTTCTCGGGACCACTAGGACATGTTCTAATACCATTTTCTTACCTCAAATAAATCCATATGGCATTATATAACATGCCTAAAGAGAAAGTGATGCTCTTTCTTTATTCTTCCATTAAAATAATTAAAATAACTAATAATATTTATTTCGAAGTGATCTTGACTGAATTCTTTCTACCAGTCTACGACTCCAAGAATTTGTCTCCAGGTACCAATACTATTTATTCATCACAGGGAATTCCTCTAATTTTTCTTAAGTCAAAAGTCAACCTCTAGACATTTGACTTTGACTTTTCCTAGATAGTAAGTAAATAGGCTTTAAATTCCATTAAAACCAACCTTTTTGCTTTCTGGGGATGGAATTATGTTTAAAACCTGTGATAATTCCTCAAGTGTCTTTTCCCATTTTCTTCCAATTATATGAGGCATCCCTATACTTTAAATAATTCATTTTCAATAATGTTCAAAATCAATCAAAACCCTGGGAATTTCACAAATTTCTTCCAAGGGCATTTTCATTATTTTTAGCCTCATTCAGACCTCTGAACGTTATTCTTATTTTTCTAAAATTTTTCTAAACTATTCAGGCCTTAGCCTATCATTTCCTATTTTCTGGGATTTTTGGGCATAATTTCCATTTTTACCCCTATCAGCCTGAAACTTTGCAAAATTACAATTTTGCCTTTGATTTGGCTTAACCTCAAAATTCATCTCATTGAGGCCTTCAACCTAACTATTGGCCTACATTCATCTCTATTTCTCATTTCTGGGTCCCGAGACTTCATGCGAGTCTTTAACTTCCTCTTTTTTCTATCTCAGAAAACTTTCCTTTTGCAATTAAGTCCCTGGGAATCCCGTTGTCCTTCCAGGGAACCTCTGGGACTGCTGCCATGAGGGGTCTGATAGTCTACCCAGTTCAAGCTAATTTTAGTACTTCTAGGCCCAAAATTAGGGATGTGACATGGCGGATGTGAACACAGGCCACGACAAATTACACCGAATGGCTATTTCTTGAGAAAGATTAGGCACCGCGACGGTTGGTCCCTTTTCAACTTCTTTGTGGTTGCCCAGACTTGGTTAAAGCCTTCTCCTCGTAATCATCTTTTAGCTCTTGCACTTACCTACACAAAGAATCATGCTTTGCACCAATAATCTCCCAATGGTTAGCATAAATCAAGATTCACTTTGACAAATCATCTTTTCTAACTTTTAAGAGAAAAATCCTGCACAATTAACTTCCAAAACCCATAAAAAAGTGCTAAAACAAGTTGAATTAGTAAGAATTTCAGGAGGTTATCAAATATCATATATGATTTGTTTCTTACTGAAAAGACCTCTTCTTAATACATAATTATAAAACTATTTTTAAAATGATAACCATGGTAGAAAAAGAATTGAGTTAGAGTGTTAAAATACTACCATGGTTATAAAGAGTTTGACTTATTTCGAAAACATCCCAAGTGGCTCAGGATACTTAAAACACCCATGGGTTTAACAACATGTAGAACAAAGCCTCATGGCACAGTAACCGCCCACAAGCCCAACATAATATTCATCCCACAAAGACTTAGGGCACAAGAAACACAGGGTGTCTAACCCAGCCCACAAGTCATGCACATAAGAGTATTACATACAGCAGAGTCTTATGGCCTTCAGCCATTTTAACAACATTCCATCAAATACAGTCATCCAAACAAAAGAAAGTATATATCAACACAGTTGTGGGCCCTAAGATGGCAATATACATAACATTACATGCCTAAACCAAAGAGGACTACTAGGCTATGCTCGCCTATGCCTCTGGTTGCTTCCCTTCACCGAGCCAAACTAGATGGCTCTCCTGAAAAGTATTGATGAATAGCGGGGTGAGACGTAAAGTCCCAGTAACCAAGTATTAATTTATGACATATACAAGTAGGATGGCAAGTTGGTGAAGTAGTGCTTAAATATAGTTTAAGAAATAAATGGTACTTTAATAGATACAATCACATAAAAAGAGTATATCTCTCCATCCACAACACAATTCATATAAAAGTACATATATGCAACAACACAATGAAATATGCCCTCCCATCACCTTGCTCCTCCTTATGACTCCTTGACAAGGACCCGGGCTTTCTGTGCTGAGTAACCCGGCCAAAGGTCACCCCACTCACATCAAGCAACGGGCCCCCTCCTGTACCTACACCGCCCAAGAATGGACTATGGTGCAAGAGGTGTCTACCCAAGAGTTCATTCTCAATTCCGGGCCAAGGAAAAGGAAGAACTACAGGGGTCTAACAATAAGGCCAAACACTGGGATCAATAGTGTAGGCATGCCGCGCGGGCTTCAAGAACAATTATCCTCCACATAACAAAATCCCATCCTCCACATATGAACCCCATGCATAGTCACAATATAAATCAAAATATCACAATCTTCAAAGTAAGATGATATAATTTCAAACAAAGTATAACACATTTTCATTTCATTTAATAACATAATACTAGTATATTAAATTCAGTACTACACGAAAACACAATTTCCAATAAAACACAACTCAAACATAATTAGATCAACATACTTCCCACTTCACCAAAATTTGTCATATAATAAAATATATTTTATTCACAGGCATACTTTTACAAATTAACTAAGAAAATAAAAACATAATAAACACCTTACAATCCAAAGCGTGTATATAAAATAAATTAACCCCGGTTACCTCTACTCCAAGCTTAACCTCACAGCTTGAGAAATAAGAGCGCAAATTACAAACTCCGAAGTACAAGATAATCTACAAATAATATAGATACAATTTAATATACATACAAATAATTAACTTAAATTACATAGAATTTATTATTAATAATATCTATACATATATTTACTATCCAAAAATTCTTACTTCAAATAACATTTTTTCTACCAAATAACTCATTTAAATTATAAATATTTATAAAATATTGTTTTTATCTAATATTGTAAGAATCTCAATTTATAACTTAAGTTTCCAGTTTCAAAATTTTTCTAATAATATAGTCTTAACCTATTTTACATTTTAAACCGATTAAAATATCAATAATATATTAAGTAACCCAAATAAGTTATTTAACTTAAATTTAATCGGTAAAAACATTCTATATATCTTGAATAATACATTTTCCAACTAAAATCTTAGTTTAAAATTCTCAAAACAATCAATAAACAACTATAAACCGATTAAAATTTAATAATATATCAAACAACCCAAATAAATTATTTAACTTAATTTTAATCGGTATAAATATGATATATATCATAAGTGACAGATTTTTCAACAAAATAAATTTGATTTTAAATACCATAGGTAATAAATGGACAAATCTAAACCGATTAAAATTTCTTAATAATAAATCTTTAAATTCTACGGTCAAATATTTTCGAAACTCAATACTTACTCTATACCCAAATCACAAAATTTTCTCTAAACATTATAATGATACTACTAATATAAAGCTCTAAATATATAGGAAATATTCATAAGGAAAAATTTAATAGAAAGAAGTGTTTAATGTACCTATATGATCCCCAAAGCTTGTATGACTCCTCAAACTGCTAACACTTCTCTCTTTTTCTCTCATCTCTCCTTCTGCGCATCTCACCCTCTCTTTTTCTACTCTGCATAACACTCCCTCCTCTATTTATCCTTCTCATTTCAACCGTCCACCTCAAGTTTTTCTACCTTCATTTATTATCCTTCCCATTTTTTTCCTCCTCCCTCTTTAATTACCCGATCGAAATTCTTCTTCGCCTTCAATTCACCCTGCTTTTCCACCGACTTTGGTGGAAAAGTTGGGGTGTTTTTTTTTTTTTAAATAAAATATTATTATTTAATAATAATAAAATATTATATAAATTTTTTTTTGGGAATGTTACAGCTCTCCCCACCTAAATAGAATTTTGCCCCCAAAATTCGCGACACATATAAAAATATAACACCACAATTCAACATTGAAAAACAGATAATATCACCACATACATACTATTTTCACATAAGATAGTACACAATCAGCACATCAACACATACTTAAGAAAACAGATTTGGATAATCACGCCGCATCGCTCCTCAGTTTCCCAAGTGGCATCACCAGGAGACATGCCTTTCCAGAAAACCTTAAGTAATCGGATTGTTTTATTCCGGAGTTGCTTATCCTTGACATCTAGAATGCGTTCAGGCTCAGCTC